TTGCAATGATCATTTGCAATGATCATTCGGAGCGCTTGAGATGATCGGTTGGAATGATCATTTGGAATGATCATTCGGAGTGACCATGTGAAGCGATCATGTGAAATGATCATGTGAAGCGATCATGTGAGATGATCGTTTGTGATTATGAAAATATCTAATCACAACAATAGTAATGTTTTAATTACTCAAATAAAAAATCAGTTTATGGCTCTTCTATCTCAATCGTTTAATGATCAGTTTGCAAGAAAACCTGCTTACACTGAAAATGATTTACTTGATAATCTAACGGTTCATTGTTATGATATAGATATCCATGAAAAACGACACAGTCGGCAACTTAATAATACATTATTAATCGATTTCCTCAAGCTTAATTTACATTCGACAGAGACATACATTAAAGCTATGGGGACATTTGCATCCTTTTCAGAATTTCACGAATATCTCCAGCACAATGTTATTTCATTGGTTGCTGATTGGCCAGGTCAAATACTTCCTCGAAAAGTGATTACGATGCAACAACAACAAGTACGGAAGAATATTCAAACAGGTAAAATTTCAGAATGCGTTAGTTCATTTATTCCAATAATGGGATCTTTACATGTACCTCTCAACAGTTGTGAAACTGTTGTGTTATTGTTTTACGAATTTTTCAATTTAGCACACAAGCATATTTTTGGAAAAAACAAAAAACTTGCTAACAAACCTCGTCTTTGGAGAATTAATCTTTTATTACAATTGATATCAGATGCTTGGCAAATCGTCGCTCCATATGTTGCACAAAAATTTGACTTTTCTTTTTGTAGGGATGTTGAATACCTAACACTAAAAACTCTTTTAGATAACACGATTCCTTTAGTTCTCAATATTTACACAACAATTTTTAGATCAGACGATTGGAATGGATATATTGAGGCTTGTGTGAGAATATGGTGTTTGTTTACTTGATTCAAACGGAGAAATTATAACAAAGCACCACTATTTTTTCTTTCAGACATTTGGTATTGGGAAAGTATTAACCATCCTATTTTCGAGATTTTAGAAAAGCATCTTGTGGTGTTTAGTGATTATCCAGTGGAAAATTATCATTCGCTAATTCGCCGACAAACAAGAGAAACAGATACACCCGAACAACTTTCAAGAACAGCTCGCGTTATCAATTGCCTTCGTCATGATAATGTGTTTCAGAGTACATTCGTTTCAACAACAAAATATCCTTATTGTAAAGAAGATCTAATAGGTTTAACTAACAAAGTATCTATCTTTCTTCTAGAACTGTTTGCTGATATTAAAAATAACACTGGGAAAAGCGAATGGACAAAACGTGACAAAAACAAAGTTTCATGCCATCTTGCAACTCTTAATATAGACGTAGATCAACAGCATTTGCCAATGGCGTTCAGTTCAGAATACCCTCCGTTTGATCCATCAGAAAAATGTCATCTTCAGAATTCTTGTAAAATATTGCAATCGACTTCTGATCAGTCTATTTCACTTCCATGTGGCCACATTTATCATCAATGTTGCTTGCAATATCTCGAACATAAATGTTTTTATTGTTTAAATTATATTAAAAATAAAATTAATTATAATGTAAAATCTATTATTAGCAGAATCACAGATACGAGTATCGGTGAAGATGATTCTGAGGTTGATCTCAGTCAAGAAAACGAGGTTCAATCAACGAATAATGATAATGGAGTCGAAGACTTATCAAAGCAACCACTATTTAATCTAAAAACTTCAAATTAGCACTTGAAATATTTATGAAATAAATATATCTTGATCAGCCAATCATATCAAAGTTCATATGAAATTGGAATTGACCAATCATACAAATGTCTGATATGCTTAATTTTATTTACATATATCTTTACTTATATTGTAATTTATAACTTTATTTACAATTTTATTTTTCTTTTATAACTTTATTTATAATATTATTTATAATATAATTTATAATTTTAATTTAATATATTAAAACTTGAAAAATAATAATATACTAAAAAAATTTTTAATTATATATTTTAAAGCTTGTTTACAAATAGTTTTAAATTATATTAAACTTATTAAAATATTATTATTAAAATTATTAAATAAGTATTTTTGTTACTAATTAATTATTTAATATTAATTTTTATTTTCTAATATTTCTTTTCTTTTAAAAACTTTATTTTTGTATTATAACAAATTTAATAAAAATTGATATAAAACTTAGATATTTTTTCTTTTGTTTTTTATTTAATTTTCTCTTCCAGTTTTTGTTCAAGTTTATAAACTAATTTTTTTAATTAGTAAACAAACTTGTAACATTACAAAGTTCAAAGAATATTACTTTAAATTTATATTTTAAATTTAGTAATAAAAGCTATTTTTTCTTTTGTTGCCAAATCAAGTTTTACTTGTCAAATCTAATAAAGAATTATTGAGAGTCAAACAAAGTTTCATGTATAATAATGGATAACTACTTTGATAACATTGAGTTTTTTATAATTTTTTCTTTTCTATAACTGCTGGTAATAATCATGATTTAATTAATCCATTATTGAATAGTTATTGGATTTCTTTCATTCTTGTGAGAAGTTTTATAAGAGAAAGATTGTACAAAAATAAATAAATTGAAATATAGAATCAGAATTTCAATAACTTTGAGATATTTTCTTTATATACATGTATCAGTGTCGGTGTTTTCTTATTGGAATTGCAATCGACGTCTTTTAACACGCGACATTCCTGAATATTTGTCTCGTTTGACTTTAGGTTTTGGAATTACTGCTGCGATCGCGTTTTTCCCATTATCACGTTTTCGTTTTTTACTATTGTTACTATCAACACCATTTTCAATCTGAAATTTATATTTTTCCTGAGCAACTTCCTTTGCGCGCTGCTTCTCTCTTGCCGTTTGGAACCAAGTACGCGCCGGTCGACTATATATCTCTTGATCATGTTTTAACAGATTCTCATTCTTCGTGATCTCCATTTCCGCCTGTCGTACTTCTTTCTCTTGTTTCTCCTCCATGAGGACTTGCGCGACTTTTTCGCGGAGACTGGATAATTTTTTGATGTATTTTGTGGTTACTTCGATAGGAACGACGCGACGTTTTATTTGTTGTTTGGTGGTCGCGTGTTTTATAATTGTTTTGAGAATTTTGCGGTCGGATTCGCCGGAGAGTGTGACGGATCTGTGTAATTTTGTATATGTGAACATAATGAACTTTGTAGATATTTATATACGTATATTGTGTACAAACCGTCCATTTCGGCCAGCACGAGCTGTTCTACCTACGCGATGTAGATAGTGTGCATAATTTTGTGGCATGTCAAAGTTTATAACCGTTTCGATTCCTTTTATATCTAATCCACGAGAAGCTAAATCAGTTGCCAAAAGAAAATCCACTTTCCCATCACGGAATGCTTCTAAAGCTTCCAACCGCTGATAAAAAAATTCAAACTTCAATTTAATTATCAAATTCAAAAAATATAATAATACGCCCTAACCTGCTCTTGTGAAAGATTTCCATGAAGCTCGGCCGCTTTCAACCCCATCAACCCGAACACAATCTTCATTTCATGGGCCAACGCCTTACTCTTCAAAAAAATGATCACGCGGGTCTTGAAAGTACGACAACAAAGCGCCAGTAATATAGCTTGTCGATCGTCTTCACGATGTTTTCTTATTCGTATGAATTCCTGGGTGAGTCGCGGGGCGGTCGCTTTCGCAGGGTCGACCATTATTCGCACTGGACGATTTAACGAGAGTCGGATAAGTTCGTCGACGTTGTCGGTCATGGTAGCAGAGAATAACATTGTTTGTCGTGATTTTGGACATGATTTTATGATTTCGTTTAGTTCGGCTGAGAAGCCATCTTCTAGCATTCTAATCAGAGTAATAATTTGATTAATTGAATGCATATATTTTTAAGAAATAATGCATATATTTTCGTACCTATCAGCTTCATCTATTATTAGAATTTCAATAGTATCTAACGAAAACGATATAGAATTACGAATGTGGTCTATAAGCCGACCCGGTGTAGCAATTACTACATCAGGCTGTTGTCTTAATTCTGCTTCTTGTATTTTTAAAGATAAACCACCTGTATATGCAAAAATCTGTTGTATGAGAAAATTTATAATCTACAAAAGGCAAGAGATGCCCTGAACGTATATCACACGAGGAACGACACCCATACCCCATACCCTGGGAACGACACACTCCCTGAGCTGTGTAACAACAGGAACTGCCCAGGAAGGAACGACCCCCTTTCAAAAGCTGCACAACACTTTTTTTAAGAATCGTAATAATCAACTTACCAACACACAAACAAAACGTAGTATCCGTAAACGAGGCGATCTTTGTTGCTACACTATGACACTGAATCGCCAACTCACGTGTTGGCGCGAGAATCAAGACCCTTATGGTCTGGTTTTGCTTTGGCCGATACAACAACCGTTCGAGAATAGGTACAATAAACGCCGCAGTTTTGCCAGACCCAGTGATTGCACCCCCGCAAATGTCTTTGCCCATTAATGCAATAGGAATTGTTTGCACTTGGATTGGAGTCGGTTGCACGAATCCTAGTTGACTTAGACCTTTGAGAATTGGCCGTGATAGGTTCATTGATTGAAATGAGTCGATTAAGTCGCTTTGGTGGTTTAATTCTGACTCATCGGCAAAAAAAGCTTTTTTGCGCTATAAATTGGATATGCCTGAAAATTAGCCCCCTTTTTGAATAAAGATCGTAAGAATAAAAGGATTCATAGACCGACTTCTTTTTCGTATTCGTTTTCTTCTTCGCTGGTAATATCATCATTTTCTTGGATGTAGTCGTCCTTATTATCATCTGATTCTTCGTCACTACTTATTGCTGCTTCTTCACTATCATCGTCATCCGTTTCTTCTTTGTCGTTAGAAAATCTGACACCGCCACCAAATCCATCAGCAGCTACTCAAAAATTAAATATCATAATTAGGATAAATATAACCGATATTTTTTCAAAGTATTATAGAAAAATAACTTTACCAATATCCTCATCATTATCATCAATACTGAGATCACTATCACTATCATCCTCTTTATCTTTATTTTTAGTATTAAATGACATAAAATCTTTTTCGCTTTCACTTTCTTCATTTAATATAATATCATAATAGTAAATTATGGATTAAACTTATTTCCTAAGAATTAGCAATAATAAACTATTAAATACGGTTTACTCATACCACCACCCCTCTCATCGTCGTTGTCTTTTTTCTTTTTTGATGAAGATTTGCCATTTGTAGAAGACGTAGACTTTTTGTTTTTTCCATTTGCCAAAACTGTTGTATTGGATGATACTGTACTGCTTTTCTTCGCATTGCCATTCTTGTCGCCCTTTATCTTTGCAATAATTTCATCGATTGATACGCGTGTCTTTTTTTGTATCAATAATCAAGATTTTTAGTTGTTGAGTTTTTTATATTAAATAAACGTGATTTCAAAAATACTTAAATTTTAAATTTTCAATACATTTTCTTATTGAAATCTGTTCGTTTTTAAGTTACGCCACAATATTGATATTAAATAACATATTGTAGGTAAATTAAATCCGTGACAAATAAAAAACACGAAAAATTTAAAATTTAACCAATCCCAATAAAAAATTTACCGAATTCTTAAGTTTCAACGCAGCCTTCGCCGCCGCAAAATCCCAAGTCTGTTTTAAACCAGCAAGCGCACTACCACCTTCAATATCAAATGTGAACTCGGGATTAAACGTATCAGTTTCGATGACAGGAACGATTATTTTTTTATCTTTCGTTTCGGAACTTTGCTTTGCAGAAGTATAACTCTGTTTCGTTGAGGTATTATTATTGCCAGTACTATCACCACCACCACTATTTATTTCTTGTTTTTTGGTATCATTCTGTTTTTTCTTGTTTTTCTTTTTTTTATTCTCTGCAGCTTTTTTTGAATTTTTAGGTGGAGAGGCTTCGGTTTCTTCTTGCTCTTTTATTGGGTTTGGCGTGAGGTCTTCTACCTCGGAGTCAGAAGCCTCTAATGTCATGATAAAGTCGTTAACCATTTTCTCGGACAAAAAAATAGATATATATACAACACGCGAGAAAATTTATAGATAATGAAAAATTCTATTTAGTAAAACACGTGATATGACCAAATCAATTCAAATTTGGGATTAGCGTTAATTAATGACGCGAATTTATCAAAGACAAATAAATGGCGAATATTATAGGTAACGTTTTTCATACTTGTTCATTATTTAAAACCTTTTTCTTATTAGTAATTAATATACTGGTTTGTTTTGCAGCACTGGAAAGTGCCTTGTTACCTTCTGCCAATGAAGTCACAGTTGCAGAAATTGACGGGGCGCTATGTATGTTGATAATTACAATAAATAATTTTTATGAAAAAGACAGGGTTTATTAACAAATTTTAAATTAATCACTCAAATTTTATATAGTAAATCTAAGTAATTCCAAAGATCCAAAAGAAGATTTGTATGCAAAATCCGAGGCATGTAGTAATTAAATAAATCGGCCAAATTGTTTTTTTTCGATAAGCGGTTAAAATCTTTTAAAATATTATTATGCAGGGTGTAGTATATCCAATCCTACGAATTCCATTCGACATCCCAATCAATGAAACCAAAGAAACTCAAAATCCAATTAAACCACTGCCAAAGTTCAAAGTTTTCAGAAAATCTCCTCAAACTAAAATGATAGATTATTACTATCACTGGAAACATGAATTTGAGTATGTAGTATTGTCATATCTTTATTTAATCGTTATCTATCGATGATGTCGAATTTGAAATATCTAAAAATAGAAACTATATAGAGGAATCAAAAAAAAAGATCGCGTTTTCCCTTCCACCGATTTTCGGGAACTTGTTTTATGATATCACCACCGAAAGTTACATTACTTTATTACGACAGAAGATTGACAATTCACCCGCAAGCTTGTTAGCTTGGCATTCGTATAACTCGTTATTTGCTGTCGCGCATAGATTGGATGCTATTTTCGTGTATGATTTACGGGTTGATTGTAAGTTAAACTTTTTTATATTTTCATGTTATTGATCAATCTTTTTAATTGGGAATTTAACAAGATTTTTGGATATTTTTATAACAAAGCGTGGTTTCCTGAGGCTCTAGAAACAGATTTGCAAAAGGATATCACTTGTATGGCATGGAAGCCATTAGGTGGAAATATGTTGGCCGTGGGTTGTTGGTATATATATTTTTTTTGCTGTAGTTCATTTAATTAATTGATTCTTATAAATTTGACAACTTTGGTACGACCATTATTTTACGCTTATAAAGCCGTGGAATATGTCTTTGGGAGATGCCATTACGCGCCAACACAAATTTCACACAAGAAAACGTTGCTTCCACCAATACGATAGCTCCTGCGTGGATGCACTATATGAACTACCCTGGACACGATAACATTGTCACATTGGCTTGGAATCCTAATGGAAAATATCCTCAACTAAATACGCTATTTATTTCGTATATATATATATTTCCTTTGACTATGAAAATATTACTTCTAACTCACGTCTTTAGCAACAGGATCAGTAGACGGCTCGATTGTTCTCTGGGACACGGCTTTTCAAACGGGTCAAGTGTTGACTACGACGTGTCAGTCGTGTTTGTTGAGCTGGAGTCCTGATGGGAAATATTTGTTGTCGGGGACATTGTAAGGTTTGGACTTTATCATTATTACTATAGTATCACTTAGTAAACTAAGATTGATTATCGTTATAACAATTTAAATAGAAAAGGTTATCTCGTAGTATGGGAAACACGAAGCTGGACTTCTAAAGTTGTTATTGAAGAAAGCAAAGAGATTCTTAAGGTATTTTGACTAGGTGACTGACTAGTATTGGCACCCGTTTTTCAAATTAATGCATGAAACTGGATTCCTGAGAGGATATTGTAAATAATCAGTATACTTTTATTTTTCTCTTAAAGAGCGCTTGTTGGGCTACAAACTCAAAATATGCATTTTTAGCCTTCAACAATTCTGCTTTCATTACAACATTGATGGTAACTTCCGAATCCAATATGAAATTGCTTCCTCGTCAATATACAGCCTATCCGCATGACGAGTAACTACCAGTTTCTTTATATTTTATCTTTTAAAATTTACGAGATTCCCATCTATATATACACAATAATCACGCATCTCTAATTTTTTAACAAAAAAGAATCGGCGGAATCGTACATTCTCTCGCCATAGACTCGATTGGCGAACGACTAGCCATCTGTTTTGAAGAAACAAAACTTGTCGCCGTGTATAACGTTAATCAGTCGTCAAACGTTTCATCAGACGGTGGATCGGGGGTCTTGTCACACGTGAAGTTTATCAGAGGGCCAGTGTGGAATGAGTTAAAGGGTCCAGGACAAATTGTTGCTCCGTCACCACCAAAGCCTGTTACGATTAGTTTTGCGAATGAGTATGTTCGTGGTGGATTGTTAAGTGTGGTTTGTGTTTGATGATTTATGTTGTTATACTTTTCTGTAACAGATCAGTTAGTTACTTTATTCTAATTTCTTTTACGTTGATTTAGATATGGGAAGATGGTAAAATCTCAATGATTCCTTTTATATACCATTCAAAGGGTTCTTAGTAATAACAATATTAAAGGAATAAAACAAAGCTAATAATAAATCAGATTTATAATTGATAAGATCCAGATTTATATTCTGTGTTGTCACTTGCCATTTGCCAAAATTGGTTATTTGCCGCGGCCAAATGCCCACCTTTAGACATTCTACCCACACTTTTAATCTGCATTACATTTTTACTGATAAAATATCATGCGAATAATAACTGAAAAACCAGTGTTGGACTATGACCTTGATATGACCTCAAAATAGAGTCATATGACTCAATTTTAAAATAAAATCTGTATGACTTATGACCAAAGTCATATGAAAAATGGCTTATGACCATGAAATTGGCCAACACTGGAAAAAAACAATATCTTCACAATTTTATTCTTTAATAGGTATTATTCGGTTATAGGGATTGTTCCTGGAATCAACTTCGGGTTCGGTTTAACAAGGTTTTATAATAATTAGAATTGTAAGTTTCGCTATTTTTTCTCATATCGATATTACGTGTTTAGTAAGTCAAATGTTCAGAAATCAGATCGTACTACAATAAATAAAGATCGAATATCTACAATTTTTATAAAACATGGAAGAAAACGTAAACCTTGCTTCTGGCACTATCCTCCCAATTTCCGAAATCACCGTTCTTACAATTCTTGTATTTGTATTAGTTGTGAGTCGCGGTGCAAGTCTTTTCTACTCTAGATACGTACAAAATGCAGCGTTACAAAGCAACAAGAACGTGACGCTTGTGGTGTTGGGTGATATTGGACGGTCACCGAGAATGCAGTATCACGCATTGAGTTTTGCTCGGAATGGCTGGCATGTTGATTTTGTAGGATATGACGGTAAAATTCTTTCTTTGAATTGGTAAAAAGGTAATAGAAAGTTAATCAGGTACACGGCTTAAATTATGAATTAGGCGCGACACCAATGACAGCTATCACGGACAACAAGAACATTAAAATTCATTATATTTCTCATCCATGGCGTCTTCCTGAATTTTTCCCAAAGATATTGTTTTTGCTATATGCACCGATAAAAGTTTACGCACAAATATTAACATTGTATTGGACGCTCTTGTGGCGTATCGAGTCGCCAAATTTTGTGTTAACTCAGGTTGGTTTTTAAAGGGCGGTGGTGAATCATATTTTTACTTGGATAGTAATCAAACATGTTTTTCGCGTTAAATAGAATCCACCTGCTATCCCGACTTTACTTATTGTACAATTTGTTGTTTGGCTTCGACAAACGAATTTAATTGTTGATTGGCACAATTTCGGGTATACAATTCTAGGACTTCGACTTGGGCAAAATAGTCGAGTTGTCAAATTTGCAAAATGGTTTGTGTTTGCTTTTTATTGAGGGTGTCCTTCGTGATTACAACAGACTAACACATATCACATTCCTCATAAAGGCATGAAAAAGTGTGGGGTAGTAGAGCTGTTGCTCATTTGACAGTAACGGCGCTTATGCACCGCGAATTGCTATATAAATGGGATGTTCAGTAAGTAAAAATATATTGATATTTTATATATTTTTTGATCTTATATTGTTAACTAATTTTAATATCAAAAGAGGCAAAGTTGCTACTCTATACGATCGACCACCCCAACATTTCAGAAGATTAGAACTTGATGAAATTCACGAGGTAAAATAATTGTTTAGCATTTACAATCATCACACTAAATAAAAATTAATCAACTACAACATGAAATATTTATTACTTTTAGTTTTTTTCAAGAAACCAACTGGAAGATATTATAACATTACAATCTACCGGTTCTTCCACGTTCTTAACAGCCTCTTCTAACGATTCTTCGACTTTACTCACCTACAAACCATCGCCACAAGAACCCGCGCGATTTAGATCAGATCGACCAATTTTGATAGTTAGCAGTACGAGTTGGACGGCAGATGAAGACTTTTCGATATTGCTGCGGGCAGCACAAAAATTCGATGAGATTGCTGAGAGCGATGGTGCTAAGAAATTTCCAAAGTTACTTTTTGTTATAACTGGAAATGGACCCTTGAAAGAAAAGTATACACAGGATATTAGTCGGATACCATTGCAACATGCGAGAATTGTAACTACTTGGCTGACAGCAGAGGATTATCCATTATTATTAGGTATATTAGTCATAACTAGGGTTGTTCATTTATTCGCTTTATTTAATGGAGAAGATGATGAATATTATATTACCAACTAGGATCAGCAGATTTAGGAATTTCTCTGCATAAGTCCTCGTCGGGGATGGATTTGCCCATGAAAGTGGTCGATATGTTTGGGTGTGGATTACCTGTTTGTGCGGTCAATTTCCAATGGTAAGAAGTCTCAGAGTATAAGATCAAGTTACTCCTTTTAGTCATTGTTCTTAACCGTATTATTCGCGCATACATTATTATTAGTCTTGATGAACTAGTACGTCATAAGAAAAACGGTTTGATATTCAATGATGCAGAAGAATTGGCTAAACAGTTGACTGTAAGTAAAACTCTAATTCTTTAAATTTTACTTAATAGTTTATAACAATGTTGATTATTAGGATTTATTTGCCGATTATCCTATGAATGCTTCGGAACTAGAAAGTATGCGCGAAAATTTAAAAGAGTTCCAAAAAGAACGATGGGATGCTAATTGGGATCGTGTGGTCTTGCCAATATTACAAGATGAATAAATAAAGTATAGTCCTTATGAGAACTTTGATTTTTTAATCAACGTTCTTATATTTCAAAGAATGTTCTCATAGAATTAGTAAAAGATATTTAATATTAAAAAATGGGTTTTATAAAATAGCGTTATGGCGTTGTAACGCGGTTTAATAATAGTGGGGACTGATAATCTTAAAAATTTTAGGGCTCAGGCAATACTTGTCATTGCAGAATAGATATAGTAGATTCCTCATATTTTTCCCGCTTTCCTTTAATTAAATGTAATGATACTATTAAAATATAATCAAACTTTAAATTTATTAAACAAAATTTCTAGAAAATATTTTTGGTTATGATTTATTTTGAGTTTTGCAAGCTTGATATCATGAAACCAGTTGGTTTGTTATCTAGCTCATCTAAAATATGTTAAATAACAATAGCGTTGACAAATAAACATTGAAGAAACAACTCTTATTTTTTTTCTTTGTTGATATAAAATTTGCTTTTCTAAAATTGGAAAATACTTATTTAAACTATTTTTTTTGAAGACTTTTAATTACAAACCAAATCTAAATTCAATTTTAATTATAATTTTAAGCAAATTAGATTTGAAAAATTTTAATTTTAATAAAGTTCTTGAATTTAAAAGGGCTTAATATTGAAAAATAATGTTTTGATTAAAAAAGTAATTAATTAGTAATTTGGATTTAGCATTATGGTAAATGTTAAAAGTATCAATGTTAATGGAATCAATATAGCTTTGATAAAGAAAGTTCTTTAGATATTTGTGATAGTTGAGTGATGAATCTAAATAAAAGTTTGCTTAAGGCAATGAAAATATTATTCACAATAAGTGTTTACTATTCGATTTTTTTATTGTTCAACAAACTGGTCATTCTGTATTTTTTGAGTATCGTAGTAAAACAATCACTTATTCCACATTAACTATTAGAACCATTAGCTCAGTTACACATTGACGTTTATTTCAATAAATAATAAAGGTAAAAAAAATCTAATTCTAATATACTTGAAAAGTAAATATATTGCTTATGCTTGACATAGCTCTTTACATTCATATTTCCGATCCTCCCCAATAACATCCACCCAGCGTTTCCCCTTCAATTCGCGTAAAATTCCATCTTTGATCTCTCTCGGTTTGCCAACACCATCGAACCCAAAACTAGTATACAACTGCACAAGTGTTGCACCAGCTCGTGCATATTCTAGAGCATCCTGTGCATCAGTAATGCCGCCGCACCCTATGAGTGTTAACTTACCTTGTGTGTGCTTGTAGAGTTCGCGTAGCGCGTGTAATGCTAATGGTTTGAGTGGTGGTCCTGATAAGCCGCCAGTTTCTGATGTTAATGGTGGATCTATAATATAATAGCAAACCGTTCATTAGTAGATGAATATTAATTTATAAAACGAATAAAAATTGATTTAGGAATTTGCTATGATACCACTGTCAAGTATTTCTGGTCTCGAAATGGTAGTGTTTGAGACTATTAGTCCATCAACGCCACTATGTAATGCTGCATGTGCAATATCTTGCAACTCTTCATCTGAAAGATCCGGTGCAATTTTGACCAAAAGAGGAGGTTTTGGATCATTTAAACTATTACGAGCATCAATCACCTAATAAATAATATGTTTAAGAATGGATTCTAATAAATAACCTTAAATAATAATATTCAAAAATATATATTTGTGCCTACTTCTTTCAGTAACCTTTCAAGTATCCCTATACGTTGTAAACCTCGCAATCCTGGAGTATTCGGACTACTAATATTCACCACCAACACGTCCGCAAATTTACCTAACCTCTTAATCCCCTTCACATAATCATCCACAGAATCCGATGGACTTGTTTTATTTTTACCGAGATTAATTCCTAGTAATCGGTCCTTTCGAAGACTCCGATTTGTACCTAATGCATCTGATAAAGAAGCGAATCCATCACTAGAAGTCGACAATAGAATTGCAGTTTCCTCGGGACGTAATTTAACGGAGTTGTGAAGATATCGACAGATTCGCTGATTAAGGCGAGTTGATACTTGGTAGTGACCGTCAGAGTTAAAGCCATATCGATTTATTATTGCTCTGTCAGGATCTAGGCGAAAAACGCGAGGTTTAGGATTTCCGGGCTTAAAAGTGATCAGATTTTAATTCTCAATTGATTTAATTGTTGGATGATTGTTGCAAATAAAAAGTAATTCAATAATAATAATAATAATAATAATAACAATAGTAATAAAAACCTGAGGTTCCGGCGTTATACTTCCAATTTCCACATAGCCAAATCCCAAATCAAACATACCATCGACAGCTTCACCATTCTTATCAAACCCGGCGGCTAGTCCTACCGGATTTGATATTTTCTTACCCCAAACCTTATTATTATCAATACATTTAATTATCCCATGCAAATATACACATGAGATATTGACATTACATATAATAAACAAATAAGCTCAATACAAGATTCGACTTTTTCATCACAGATCAATTGATGATCACACCTCAATTGCTAATCGTTCGTCATCGGACACTTTATCTCGAGCAATTAACCCCCATTTCGCACTCCACACCGCCAATTTATGCGCCTGCTCCGCGTCTAAAGTCGAATGAATTATAGGCATTAACACATATTTATGTATCGCGGCCCGTGAATCAGAGTAATATTCGAGAAAAAATGCCCCTAGTAAAATTCCTGTTGTTCCAAGAAATAAGTTGCGAAGTTTTGTACCGCTTGTTGCTGGTTTTGTTTTGGAGGTTGTGAGAATTTCGCGAACTAGTAAGGTGGTGGGTGGTAACGTACGTGTATAGAGAACTGGAGAGCGAGTAATAGCGGAACTAATAATAAGATGTGAAGATGATTTCAAAGAGTACCTCGAGTCTACAAGAGGCTTAAAAGAACTCTTCATAACATGAGAGAATGACATTCTGTAACAGAAAAAATTAATCAGGAAGTGAATTTACTCAATTAAACAATGATGATGACGATGATCAACTTGACTTCTGTATCGGTATTAATTTTTTTTCATAATTGTCTTCGTTGCTCACTTCTTTGCTAAAATCCTAACCACGGCAAAAAAAGTTGCGGGTCATGTGATCTGCAATAGGTCCATTAAAATATCCGATTAATATTAGATACAAAGTATTAGGGTTAGGGTTAGAGCTGAGATTAAAGTTATACATAAAATTGTCTTCTCGACATTTTTTAATAGTGCACCAATCTAGATTTAGACATCTGTTTTTTGTATTTTTCGCATTTTCTGTCTTTTCTCATTTTCTTGTGCCATTTGTTTTTCCGGGTTGATCAAAAATTTGCTACATTCCTATTGGTTGTGTAGAATTTTTGAGCATTGGTTGGATTGGTTCATCATCACATGACCCGTAGCTTTTTTTTGTATCTCTTCTTTGCAAGGCTTCCTCGCCCTGCATCACGTACTCGCCGACTAAGAGTTTTTCCACATTACTTTCACCCATTCTGTTACCGCAAAAAAGCATCAGAATGGCTAACCCTTGTATATGATTTCACCCAGTGAAGAGTTAGGCACGATCTACCTTAGTCCCTCGGCATCACGGTTCAAAGAGCGTGATATTGAAAAGCGCAAAGAGTGAGCTTTAAACCTGCATTATCTGAGAACCATGTCATTCCTGAAGTTGAAGGTGCTAGAATGTCAAGTCAACTATTCTCCTAATGAACTCATGCTAACAATTCAAATATCGTGTAGTCATAAACTTTCTGGAAAAATACATTCTGCCCGACATCTGTCGCGACATGCTCGAAAAGCATGACTTCGCGTCAAAACGTTCCTTTATAAACCATATCACCGTTCGGAACGACTTTTAGCAATAGAACAAGCAAGACTTACACTGACTCGTTGGTGAATGATTTGCTACTTCACGTCGTTAAGTTAGATAATGGCCCTTCAATATTATGTAAGTATTTATAAGAAAGTCTTTGGTTTATGATGTACTCCAATGATTTTCCTTAAGTTTGCATTCTGTCATAATCCAGGATTCACCCGTCTTACGTTTCAGCAGATCCTGAATTTGGCTATAGTAGCTGCAGAGATCTGTATAATTTTGATCATTTGATAAGTCCATATGTTTTATTGAATCAAACAGCCTTTTTTCTCCCTTTGAAAGAGTTTGGGAAATACAAATTGCTGCCGAGATACTTGCCTGTGGGAATGAAAATATGCATCAAGTTCGTGTAATTACGGATCAGACTCTATTTGCTGTTCGTATTATCTCCACATATGTCACATTTTACAAAACTATATAATCCCTGCAGGATATTGGAAGGAACTTAGTAACAGTCAATTGTGATTGAAAGATGGCCGAGGGAGAATTATCCAAAGGCTGGTCTGGATGTTGCAGCACCGGACAGTGCTGACAGCATTTGCTAGAGTTCGTCCATCTCTTTTATATCAGTAATTTGTGTAGCATGATGGGGTTAGGAGCGCCATTTATCGATGATTTCCATTTACTATAGGACCATCCCGTCTGATCAAGTTGAATCATGATCTAATAGTCAGCAAAGACCCCAACCACCCCAAAATCAGCTGATTTCTGGCACTCCCTTAAGTTGTGTTTTTAGGTGCACTTTGTAATTTGCGTGCTTTATTTCAGTACAGTTTCATTTTATCTGTCATTTGTGTTAAGCCTACTTTTCAGCTAAAGGGCTAACGGAAATCATGATATTTAATCCGTGAATCTAATGAATCGGAAGCGCAAGCACGATGAAATGGAAGATTGAATCCTCCATTGGGATGAGAAAGCAGATGTTGGATAAGGGTGTGGTATCTTGGATCGTGACATTTGATTGTTAAAAGAAGCGGGAAATAGTTCACGAAATCACCTGATATAACGAAAATCACAAGATCGTGTTATAATATCACGGCAAACAATTGTCGGTCACGTGACTTTACGACCAATATCCAGATCTCGATTGGATCACGTTATTATGAACAATGTCGATGTAATGACACTTTATTAGGAATTATGCAAGTTTAATTTGTTAAACATTGAAGCTATTATTATTTTTTTTACAAATTAATATAACTAAAATGCGAGTTTTTCTTTTCTTGTTGATTATAAACTTGTAGTATTTTTAATATTCATTGATTACTTTTATTATTAGCTTCAACAAGCTATTGAAAATGTTTACAAATTGATCATTATCTATTTCTTATTTGTATAAGGCTAATACAGTTTTCATAATCTTTTATAAGTGACAAACTTTTCTCTTCTTTTATTAATTATATTATATTTTACAATTGCTAATATATCTTATAAATTGATAATCCTTAAGTTCTTTTCTTTAACAAGATTAATACAATCAAATTTTTTTTATAGTTACATTTATTTATAGTCACATTTAGGAATGTTATTAGTTTACTTATATATGATTAATTATTTCTTTTTGATCTCTTGTAAAGTTTAAAAATTAGTTATTTATAATAAAAAATATAATTATTTTGATAAAAAATTAGTAATTTTATTTAAATCATTGGTTTAAATTATCAGTTTGAACTATTGTTACAATTATTTTCAATAATTCCGTAATTAACGAATCTTTTAAAAATAATAGAAAATATGAAAATCTTCAAA